CCCAGGTTGGTTGTGTGTGTGTGTTCCTTTATATATGGGATCAGATTTCCTACATTTTTCAACTGATTTCAACAAAACTTCACTTTTTTTTTTTTTTTGGCAGGTAGTGTTTCTTATTGTCTTGCACACTTTTTTCTTTATTTTTACATTCAGAATGCTTTAAAAATTCCATTTACAAGACAATTGTTTATAATAAAATTCTATTCAATCTCATAACGATTGAAAACAATGTTTTTGTTTGAGTTTGGGTTTGACCAATTCGTAAAAAAAACCCACAAAAAACAAAACAAAAAAAAAAAAACTAATTAAGACATGCGTGTCCGTCAACCTTAAATAATAATCTTTGTCAATTTTATTTTTCAGTCTTTATGATGGTCGATACTTGATCTATCTCTTACTGTTACATCCCCGGGCAACGCCGGGCTCTACTGCTAGTCAGTTATAAAATCTACATACCTTTGAACATCTTGTTCAAATTTTGATAATAAATCTTTTATTGTTCAACATGAAGCTAATTTAATTTCACTTGCCTGGGTCATGTAGCCTGGGACACCCTGTATTAACATTTTAACAAACTAAATTATAGGCAAAAATGATTTTTTCACCAAAATATCAAATTTCAACTTCTGTGATCAAATCTTAGAAAAGGAAAATAGACTATTTCTTCTCTTGATACAGAATTGGAACCTTAACATAATAATTTTACTGCATCTACTAAAATTTGCATAAAGTAAGCAAAAACAAATACCCCCTCCTCACCCAAAAAAAAACTACTAGTAGTAGTTACAGGTAACAACAGAAACAATTGCATGGTTAGTCATGTGCCACTCATTGGACTAATTAAATGTTTTCCAAACTTTTATATCGTAGCAAAGGTCATTAAAACTCACCCACGAACTACTTGGTTTCTTTAATTTCAAATTTTTTCCCTATTTTAAGTATTTTCAAAATAGCTACATATTTTTAAATTTTTTTTTTTTTTGTGGCATTTATTTCAATTGGTCAGTTGTGCTATAAAATAAAAATGAAAATATTTTCTCAGAAGAGACATTTTTTTAACATCTACCTCATTAAATAATATCTGGAATTACCAAGTCAGCAAGTCTCGGCATGAATTTTTGGTGACTTTATAGAGTGTGGTGTGAAAGTCATAGAAAAAAGTCAGAAGGTATGCTTTGTTAGGATAACAAGAAAATAATACTTTTCTTTAAATTAATCATATTTTAATGTATTTAATATCTTTTAAAGAATGGCATACCTGATTTATGGTAATGAAATAACAATATTTTTAATAAAGTAAATGTTTCTTATAATTTATTAACTAATTCATTAAAATATTACTAAAATCATATTTAAAAAACAAAAAAAACTTTCATTATTATAAATTAAAATATTATTTTCAAAATTGTTTTTCATCCATAATATCTGTAAAAAGATCTTTCTTCTAAAAGATTTCCAAGAATTTACTTGACATGTGCTTGTCCATTGGTCTATAAGAAAAGATTTTCTTCATTAAAAATAAATTTATAAAGATTGTTTGAAAAGGTGTTCCTTATTTTTATTTATGTTTTATATGTTGTTTATATGATATGAAATGAAGTGGAAAGATTATATTGAATCAATTGGTAGGCCTGCAGCAAGGAAAGTTGGATCCCTGTGTCAAGCTAGAGAATTTTGTTTTCTAAAGAATTGATCTTGCACATTTATAAATCTACCATTCATCCATATAGTACTGCTGCCATATCTGGTCTGGTGCTTCTGCTATGCATTCAGAGATTCTTAATAAAATACAAAGAAGAATTTGCAATATTATTGGTTCTGGCCTGGCATCTCTGCTTCAGTCACTTTTCCTGTGCAGTTTCTATATTTTCTTGGTAACTGTTCTGATAAGCTTTCCTCTTTGGTACCTAGACTTTATGAATCTAAGAGACATACTAGATTGGCAGCAAAATCTCATCACTTTACACTTGAAATAACTAGATGTAGCCATAAGTTTTATGCTAGCAGTTTCCTTCCTCACTTGCACTGAGGGATTCTCTTCTGGCTTCTTGCTTTCCAGTCAACTTTGATCTTCAAAAATTTAAATACAGTATCAATCATTATCTTCTGTCTTAATTCCTGTTCTTTCATCATTCTCTCTACTTAATACAGTTTTCTTTTTCTCATATTCTCTCACAGTCACATCTTAGTGGCTTTATTGCCTTGACTGGGGTGAAATGATTTAAAAGATGTGATAATATATTAACTAAGAACATATCTGTATCTAGAAAACATATTTTTCTTTTCTTACATTTTTCTTTTGTGTCACTCTTTACTAATATTTTTTAAGTATGAAAGAAAATGTAAAGAAGTTGACTGTTTTGGTTCACAGCTCAGCCAAAATAATGTATCTATCATTTAAGATGGTTAATGTAGAAAATTGATGATTTTAATGTCAAAAAGGTTAACTAGTTGTAGTGTATGATAAAATCTGGGTAAGTGCAAAACTAAAATATATTTACAAAGTCATTCTTATTTACCACATGGATTTAAATTTTTGGTTTGTTCTCTCCTCGCCCTTAGATCCTGACATTTTGAAGTAAAAATTTAAGAAAAATGCCTTATTCACTTTCAACACTTAAGCTTATATATCATTACTATAAACTTTATTTTTAGTGGGTACATGTGGAAGAGGCACAGTGCAGAAATTGATAACAGCTTGGATTGAGGAATCGGAGAGCCGAGTTCAAACTCCAGTCAAATCTATTATGCCCAATTATGCACTACTACCCTTAGGAAAGGTATGAATCCTCTTCTTCTCCCATCCCAACTATGGATAAATAGTAGAACAGACCGGGTTCTATGGCCTTGGATGGTAACTTGTCTACCACAGAAAGAAATGGTAACCTACTGCAGGGAAAAGTCTGCCTCATCAGTCATGGATCGACAGATACATGATTGCCTAAGTGTGTATCAGGCATGGCATATAACTGACTGACATGTGATTGAGGTAATATCCCTGTTTTTTTTTTTCTTCTCAGACAATGAAATTAATATCAACTGGTCTAGATCAAGAAGTCCTGTTAAAGAAATAATAGCAGATTAAAAAATCCATTTAAAAATGACTATTTACATTTATGGTATGAAAACAAGAGAAAGGTGGTCATTCCTTAAGTAGGTAATTGAGCCTTGATGATTCCCTGTGGCCTAATTGATTCTACTATAGGAGTAGTTTCTCTGATAGAAAAAGTGAATACTGATTCATTTCCTGTCAGGAGGCACAATTTTTCTGTAGTTGGCTCAAGTTAGGCTGGTTGATGTTTATTTCATTGTATAAGAAAATAAAAAAAAATAAAAAACAAGGATGGAAACTCAAACAGGAGTACTCACTAAAAATAATGTTTATAGGAATGAGAAATAATGCTGGATCTAAAAAAAAATTATATATAAAGAACAATTTTGAGGAAAAACTATAACAAAGTGGAAAAAAAAACTTGTGTGACTCATTTCATCCTTTAGGACTTCAGACTAAAATGATGCTTACATTGATGCCACTACATACATATATGTATTTAAAAAAATAAATAAAATTTAAAATTCTCAGCCTCTCCTCTCCTTCATGTGTAATTGCATCAAGATAGACATCACTTTAGTTGGAGGGAGTCCCAAAGAACAAAACAAAATCACATAAAAACTTTTCCACTTTGTCATATATTTTAGAGAAAAAAAAAACTATTTTATATATATGACTCTGGAGTTGGGATGCTGATGATAACATCAATCAGCTAAGTGGCAAACCTTTTACTAGTAGTAAATATATATATATATATATATATATATATATATATATATATATATATACACATATGAAATGACTTTTTTCCTTTTTGATGTAAAGTTGGTAGTAACAAAAATTATTTTGAGGTTTGGAAAACATTTTTCAAATGATATATGGTTAAATTATTCAAGCTTAAAAGACAGGAAACAAAAAACAAATTAAAACATCAAAACAAATAAAACATTTCGGAAATACATTTTGAAAAATGTTAGAAAACTCACAATGGAAAACAAGAAAATTGTAAAACCATTTTTAAATTTTTTTTTTATTTTTCAGTTTGTTGAGTCTGTGGAAAAGGGCCTTGATCATTAATGGATATATAAAAACAATCAGCATGAAATGATGAAATGAACTCTGAGATAAGAATTAAAAAGACCCTTACAAACTGAGAAGTGGGTAATGTTTTATAATAAAATTAGAGAGATCCTTAAAAGGAATTATTTATTTTGAATTGCTTCTGAGAAAAAAAAAAAAACGCTCATTACATACATAGAATTTGAAAATTAATTTTGATATCTGATGGCCAGGTTTCAGCTGTTAACTCCCCACACACAGATGGCTTCTTTACATGGATTTGAAAAAGGCCTTTCACATATGATATTATCTATTTAATGATGCAATTACCTGTAATGTTCAGTTAAGCTTACATCTATAATAACTGTACAGGATTGCCACATTATGAGCAAGACTAAATTCACAATTGACTTTCTTCTCTTCTCATTAGTAAGCTGTGTTAGCCTAAATTCTTTTAAAAATTTCATAAAAGCCACAAACAACAAAATTCAAGGTTTAGTTGTGTTGGATTTTAATCTGGCACCCCTACAAAATTGCATTTTATACCAAAGTAAGTTAACTACCATGCAACTACAAATTTCATTTTTTTTTTTTTTTTTTTTTTTTTTTTTTTTATTAACCACCAAACTTTTATCAGTTAATTTCTATGATCAATTTAACCAATTTTTGTGCAGCACCAACTACTTTCTCAAAGAAAAAGAAAAAAAGGTCACTAAACTTTGAATCTATAGATACTTAGCTATAGAAATGTTATTTCCTTAACTAATTTGTTAAGGAAAAGAATCTATTTTGGAGCTTTCAAATTTTGTTCTTTTTTTTTTTTTTCTTAAGTATAAAAAAAAAACCTGAAGGGCAAAGAAAAGATAATGTGATATAAAATGCATCTTACCGACTTTTCAGTTTTAATGGCAAAGAATTTGTGAGAGCCATCACCAGGTCCATACACATAGCCAATAGCCCTGGAATCAGAGGCATCTTTGGATACGAAGGAAATATGGTTCACCATGTGTGTGTAGTTCACAGCCTGTAAGGGATATAGATGGGATAATCAATGGAAGAGGAGAGTTTTACAGACAGTAGAAATGTCTTTTAGCAGGTGTTCTGCATGGAGGACAGAGCAAAAAGAAGAGGGACTTGATTTAAATTTATATAGCTAAATGTCTGATATGTAAAAATAAACAAGTGTATAGATTTGATGTGTATAGAAATAAGATATATTGATGTATGTTTAAATAAAAAGGAAAAAAAAGAATGATTTTAAGTGGTCCAAAATGAAATGAGTTAAAAAGGGAAAAAAAAATGATTTTTCCACGATCTACTCATTTAAAAAAAAAAAACACACACACACACACAAATTTGAAAAATGGATAAAAGAAAACCCAAAAAACATTGCTTAGAAAACGTAACCCTTTGAACCTGAGAAGATGGTATACCACCAGATGTGTGAAAGTGAATATACTCAGGCAGCCGGTATACAAGCCACTGTCATGTGAATTTCTAGTGTGCTGCTTTATGAGGCCCAGGGGCTCAGAGCAGAAGATCCATACACATCAGGTGATCAGGGCTCAAAGAGTTAACAGATTTATATATAAATATATACATGCATTCATGTGTGCATTACATGTATGTGCATGATCAATAAGTTCAAGTTTGAGAGGAATTTTCACTGTATAATATAACATCTATGTATTTCATATATGTCTATTTAAAAAAAAAAAAATCAACATTTGGTATGTTTAAAGATTCTTTTTATTCATGCTGCAAATTTATGCACACACACATTAAGCTTAACTTTTAAATGTGGAGATAGTGAAACAAATTGGAAAAGCCTTTTAAAAGCTTTTGTCTGTCTCCAATATTGTTTCAGATACTATTATACAACCTAGTTATATATTATACTGCAGTTATCAACTTTTCAATTTTTAAGAAAGAATATCCAACTTTTGAAGAAAATACCAAGAAGTTTTACCAGAGTTCTTTAGTTTGAACATCACATCTAACATTTGTGTTTATGTTCTGTTTTAAGCTACTTCTATTTTTTTTGCATTTGTTTCAAATAACTGTAACAAAATAATCTCGTATACATTTTATGACACTGTCATAAAATTAATACAGCTTTTGAATTCCGTATCTGGGTTTTCTACTGAAATATACAGGGTGCAATAGGTAAATTATCGCCATTTTATATTTCCATTTTTTTTGTCTAATTTAGACGACAATTTATCCATCGCACGCAGTACATAGAGGCTACAGTATGTCAACAATATTTCTTATCAATTCTTATTAGAAAACAAATGCAATACGAATGGAATTAATGCTGTTAATTTAAATTAAGACACATTCACAATGTAATATGTGATAAAATATCAGCTGAATTAGTTTTGAGAATTTGAAATATTCATTTTGAAACCAAGAAAAAAGTCCCCTCTGATAAGATTTTATTTATCATACAACCCTGGAATGCTGAATTTTAAAGGCTTACATTAAAGTCTTCTTCACTTTAAATACAACCTAAGGCTCTTTTACTGTAATTTGATATTTAGTATGCATTCAAATTAAATCATATTTGTAATTTGTCAAGAACAAACTTGAAGGCTTAAGTTAACATGTCTGCATCAGGAATCAATCATTTTATCAAATAAGGTTAATTACAATTTGTATTTACATTTGGTAGTATCTATCTATATTTCTGAGATGAGGTATTATGTACACTATTTACATTATTCGGACTATCATCCTCATCTTTGTTGCCATATTTATCACAACTTTTCAGCCTTCTTCAGGTGGTTGGAATGTCGAACTGGGGTAGACTGTTCTAGTTGCACGTGCTATTTCTAATGAATGTGTGTTATCAGTTATCTCCTGTTAATTCCCCTCTCCAAGTTCTCCACTGCCTTAACCAGGTATTGGACTCACAACTCTTTTGGGTCCTGTCACTGGATCTAACCAATATCTTTATCCACTGTGCCATGTGTCCTTAAGGACATCTGTGTATGAATTTCTGGAACTTATAAACTTAATGTCTTCAGCAACCATTTTTACCAGTGCTCATATTGCAATTTTTGCTGTTATCATAGCATGTTTTTTTTACCAGAGCTCATATTGCAATTCTCATTGTTATTATTGCTTTTCTCTGGCACTCCTTATTACTAGTTCCCATATTTTATTCATTTCTATGATTGGTTGGCTCAGATTTTTGTAGCCTAGCATATGATTTCAACCTGATCCCACAGAGGGTGGTGATCTCCCTTTTCTCTCCATATGTGGTCAGCCAAGCCTGATTTTTCCACTTCTCCTTGTGTTACAGCTTTTTGGTGTTCTTGAAGCCTTACCTTAAGGGGGTGGCCTGTCTCCCCTTTATATTTCTTTCCGCAGCTGCATGGAATGGTGTACACACAGTCTTTAGTCATGTTCTCCTCTATGGTGTGGGAGGGGTCTTACTCAGGAGAGGTATCTGCAAAGTGTCATCCAGCTTTTGAAGGTTGTCCTGACGTTATATGGACCGCAAATCCTTTGTATTTTCTCTGATAACCCATTCACATAAGGCAGGTAGACTGTTTCTGAGTTTTATTGTCCTCCTCTTGTACTCATCTATCCCAGTTTATTGAGGCTGCTGCCATATACCCAGGGTAGTTGTTACGTTGTAGGGTACTGCTTATACTGACAAATTCCTTATCTAATGTCTCTGGGTGGCCACATGACTTTTGCTCGGTGTTGTAAGCAGCAGACACTCTCTTTCTTTATGCGGTATGGATGGTGGGAGTTGAAATTGAGGTACTGTCTGGTGAATGTTGGTTTGCAGTATATGGATGTCTTGAACCCATGCTCTGTTTGAGATATTAGAACATCCAGGAATGGGAGTGTGTTGTTACTCTCTTTCTCAATCGTGAACTGTATAGAGCAAAATAAAGGGTTCAGTTCAACATTCCAACCACCGGCCAGAGTGTAAAACAACCAAAACATTGTGATAAATGTGGCAACAAAGATGAGGATGATAGTCTGAATAATGTAAATAGTGTACTTTCATAATAGTTAGTCAATTTAGCTATTAAGTTATATAACCATATAATTGATCAACTTTATAAAATACACAGAACATTTGTATTCAATTTATTTACTACAGTTGTTTTATAATGAAGCAGTTCCCTATTTACAAGGAGGCACTAAAAATTGTTCTTGACTCAATTCCTATTTCTTCACAAAATTTCTTTTATATTTTTTGGAAAAGGATCTTGGTTAGACTGAGAACTTTTCAGTACCCACTTATTGGATTTTTTAAAACTTGTCAGATTGCTTTCATTTAAAATTTATTTATTGTATTTGCAATCTTAATGGTCATTTTGGTAACTGACGAATACATTAAAGAGTTACTTTTTTTGTACCTAAATAAGTGTCGGAAAAATCTCTGTTGTGACAAGAATAAATCAATTTTCCATTTGATTTTTAGCTGATCGCAAATTATAATTATAAGTTATTGAGCAGACAGATTCCTAAACTCCATAACTAAATACATATATTTGATATTACCCCCACAACCCTCTCATTGTTCTTAATTTTATCTTATTTTATTTATTTTCTTATTATTTTTATCCTTATTTTCTTATATACAATGTCTCTGCTTGAACCCTGTAATTTTATTTATTATTTATTTTTTGTCATTTTTTTTCTCAATAGCAGTAGATAGGTTCACCCATTTCCCAGTTCACACTCCTCCCTGAAGTGGTAGCAGTTTATCTCTTGTTTCATGTTTAGGATTGGGTTTCCAGTTCCTTCTAAATTTTACTTCAACTCTATACTTCTAAAGTCTCTGAATGCTGAAATTTTTTTTTTTTTTCTTCTCCTAAATAACAGATAATTTTGCCTATCGCTCGGTTCATAGCCTTAGCTGGTCTAGGGGAATTATGCCATGTTTCCTTTTTAGGATTAGGTTTTTGGTTCCTTCTAAGGTCTTTTCTCATTCAATTCCATTTTAATTATCACCTTGCTTGGGGTGAAATGATTAAAAAAAGAAAAATCCACACTTTCCAGTACAATGCATATGTTTGTGTGTTTTTTCAGTGCCTTCATTCGAATTCATGTTATATTCACAAGGAACTTGAAGTGCTTTTCATGGTTTTACTTGCAGAATTAGTGTCAAAAAAAAAATCTTTATTCAATTCTACCACCCTTTAACATAAAACCAGATTGATAGATTCCCTAATAATGAACATACTAACAATGGCTTGCAAGGGTATTATCAGTCATTATGGGTGGTGCTCAAGAGAATTTCCTTACCAGATTTCTTCATTTTATTTCATCATTTGGATGTTATTTAGTTTAATTAATGTCAATTATTTTGACCTCTAACTTCACAATACTGACTGATTATTTTAAAAAAGGTTATAAATCAATTCATTCAGTACATTTGATGGCAACCAGTTTCAATCTTCTGATAATGTCACTAAATATTTATGCCCTGTTACAGAGTGGATTTTATAAGCATGAAACTGACCATATAAAAAAAAAATCATTTTTTTTTTTTTTAAGGCTTGAAATATGTTTTTCCCTTAGGTGTGACATACAGCATAAAAGAATAATCATTTTTAATTTTTAAGTAATACCCTGAAGTAGAATCATCATAAATAATATTTATTCATATTTGTCTTGTACATATTTTATAGGGATACATATGTAGTGAATGAAATTTCTATAGTTTTTATATACGCATGACATTGAAGCAAACTTTTTTTTATTCTTATTTATATATTTTTTTTCCCTAAGTGAGGTGTTAATGTTGCTAAGATGCAAGGGGGTTACTGGAAGTGAAAGAGAATGAGAAGACTTTAGTGATGAGAAAGGAAAATAAAAGAAAAGGATTTAGAAAGACAGAAGATGGTGATTGACATTGCATTTATATTTTTGAAAATTGTAGGTGGCAGAGAAGCAAAAGAAACCAGAAGAAAGTTCAACAAGCAAAAAAAGAAACTATTAAAATAGAACTCATGGTTATATCTATTTCAACAGTAAAACAATAAAACCTATTAG